CCAGCGTTCTGATGCTACAAATTAGCATCAATACTAAAGTAAGCTGCAATGTACTAAAGAGCATGTGGAGAGTCACAAGCATGCTGAGTAACATGGACTTATACAATTCAGTATGTTGAAATTAGTGTACAAGTTAAAATGAGCCAAACTGCTAACATTAGCCTAAATGCTGGCAGTAGCATGTGGGACATCACTAACATGTTGTCTTACATTGACTTACCCCATTCAGTGTACTAAGTGTGGCTAATAAATAAGAAAAATAGCTAAAAGCTTTTTTTAGGAAAAAGGCTAATGCTAATGGGGGCAGTGAAATGCTAATACTTGTGCTAATGTTAATTATTTGCCGCCTATGGCGGTGCACTAATATTGAGATGGTGTCATCATGACCGACTTTCATGAAGGCTAATAATATTTGTGCACTGCCTAAGCTTCATTTTAAAGTGCCACAATAATCCCATGTGTAACAGTGGTTGGGTTAAACCAGTCATATACAGCAATTACCTGTTGTGAAAAATAGGACGGCTTTTTAAAATATTTTACAATAATCAAAAAGAGAGATGCAACTTCTATCATGAATATAGATTAGCCAAAACCCCTGCAAATTACATGAAATACTGCTACTTCCGGTGGGCACCGGAAACAAGACCCATAATCGTTTCCCCAATACGCCTCCCGGGAATAAGGTGGATAGAATGTTCAGTTCCAATGGTATCAATTACATCAGCAGTGATGTCTTCACTCTATGATACCACAAGGGAATCTCTCTCTGGAATGTAGCTGGCAGACAGAGTTTTCTCTGACCTGTTCCACAGTTCAATCGCGGCAGATCACCCTTCAGAGCAAGTTAGATATCGATTCCAGAGAAGTGAGAATTTACCAGTCATGAAGCAACAACAGACTGCTTTTGAACATGAAGCTTTTCCAGCTAAGCTTTCATGGGTCGACATGGTAGATCTCAACATCCAAGTCGACTATGACGCTGTCATTTTCCCTGTTGAAAATGACAGCCCCATTGAGCCGGAAGATCAATCAGAGATCCAGGGGGAATCAAGTCCTTCCGGCGACTTTGAGAGTCCAACATCTTTGGAAGTCGAGCAGGAGACAACATCCTCTGCTGGCTTCAAGATCACCCCCTCAGTGGAAAACATGGAAGAGAGAAGCCAACACATCAGAGATCTGACAAAGCAGGTAGACGATCTTAAAACAGAGTTGCAGAATAACATTTTTGAACTCCATAAGGAAAGAGAACAAAGGCTTGCATGTCAGGCTGAAGTCAAATCCCAGCAGGAGGAGATTCACAAACTGCAAACAATGTTGGAAAAAGAACGTCACCAGCAAAAGATTAAAGATGTGTCAAAGGTTTCTTGCTCTTCTAAAATTACAGTTGACAAGAGCGTTCTTCAACAGCTGGAGTACTTCAAGCAGGAGGCTGCAAAATATGCCTCCCGCAATAAAGGCCTAATTGAAGTAATGGTTGAAGAATACAAAGTGAGACTTAAATATGAGGAGCAGCTCAAAAGTCACACTGAGCAAGCTTCCAAATTTAAGGCTCAGGAGGAAATGGTGAAAGCTCTGCAGGGTCAGGTTGCAGACCTTAAGGTGGAGTTGAAACTTGCTCTGGAAAATATCCATCCTAGACTCTCCACCCAACCAGAGACCCCCCTGCAAACAGAGGAGCCCAAGCAAAGGCAGACCTTCAATCAACAAGGGGTCTCCATGCATAGCCTTGCTCGGCCTTTGCGCCGACCCACATCCAGCTTGCAGACAGAAGGCTCCCTACAAATAGAGGAGACCAAGAAAAGACAGACCTCCAATCAACCAGGGATGTCCGAAGAAAGACAGACCTTCAATCAACCAGGGAGGCCTGAGGAAAGATGGACCTTCAATCAACAAGGTAGGTCCGAGGAAAGACAGACCTCCAATCAACCAGGGAGGTCCGAGGAAAGACAGACCATCTATCAACCAGGGAGGTCCAAGGAAAGACAGACCTCCAATCAACCAGGGAGGTCCGAGGAAAGATGGACCTCCAATCAACCAGGGAGGTCTGAGGAAAGGTGGACCTCCATTCAACCAGGTAGGTCCGAGGAAAGATGGACCTCCAATCAATCAGGGAGGTCTGAAGAAAGATGGACCTCCAATCAACCAGGGAGGTCCGAAGAAAGACGGACCTCCAATCAACCAGGGAGGTCCGAAGAAAGACAGACCTCCAATCAACCAGGGAGGTCCGAGGAAAGACGGACCTCCAATCAACCAGGGAGGTCCGAGGAAAGACAGACCATCTATCAACCAGGGAGGTTCGAGGAAAGACGGACCTCCAATCAAACATGGAGGTCTGAAGAAAGACAGATGTCCATGCGACCAACCGCCACTGGTTGCATGGAGGGCCTTTGTGTTGGCAATGGCATGAAGGCCAATCTAAGCCCGGCTCGGCCTTTACACCGACCCACACCCAGGTGGCACTAACCTAGATCACTAGTCAAACCCAGGTTTTGCCAACACTGGGCATTATGTAAATTCAATCCTTTACTCCAGGGGTGCTCAAAGTCGGTCCTCGAGGCCCGACTTTGAGCACCCCTGCTTTACACAAATTTAGGAAATCAAAACAGATGCAGGCAAATAAAATGCCTGCGTCTGATTTCCAAAATCAATGGATTTTGAAAACAATGATTTTGTTTTCTCCAAAATCAATGGAGAAAACATAAGATCAATTTCAGAGTTAAAAACACCAAAATAACCATTATTAAAACTTTCTGATGCGTTGAATGTGTCTTAGCACAGCCAACACATTAGATTACTAATATACTGCAGCTATGCAATTGGCAGAAATATAACCTAACATTATATCATCATTGTTTATTTGTAGAATGATTTAGAAAACAAAATGCTGTACATGTTTGTCAAAACTATTTCAACCCATATTAGAAATTTGCATTAATTTCCCTTCATTTTAATAGCTGCAATTTTGCCTAACCCAGACATTTTCCCTAACCGTAACCCCATATAGTCTGTTCCTAACCCTAACATTAACTAAAATTTAATTTGCATCTTGCCTCTAAACATTACCCAAAGCAATGAGTCCATCATATTAGGACCAAGCCATGGTCCTAATATGATGGACATAATATGACACTGTACATATAATGGTGCGTTCACACCAAACACGTTTTGAGCATCAGGCACGTCTGGTTTACATTCAAACTCTATGTGGAGGCGCGTCAAGGGCTATTGCGGCGCTCTTCAAGCGTCTAGCGCAGCGCCATTTGAACCGTTTGACGCATCTAGCGCATCCAACTCTCCACATAGACTTTGAATATAAACCAGACTCGCGTGACGCTCAAAACGTGTTTGATATGAATGCACCATTAGAATGTTCAGTTCCTATGGTAACAATGAGAGATTCATTTGATGCATCAAAGAGTGATGTCATCACTGATGAGTGATCAAAGAGTGATGTCATCACTGATGATGTTATCACTGATGAGTGATCAAAGAGTGATGTCATCACTGATGAGTGATCAAAGAGTGATGTCATCACTGATGAGTGATCAAATTTGATGCATCAAATGAATCTCTCTCTTCAAAAACAGCACACAGACTGTTTTTTTAGACCTGTTCCTTATAAGTTACAGGAACTTATACGTTCTTGTAACTTATAGTTATGAAACTTCTACAGGAGCATTGTTAAAATTATTTGAAGGCACAGAATCAGCCCCGTACA